TGATTACCGAAAGTGGTGTTAATCCAAACGTTAGCAGATTGATCTGCAGTTATTTCACAAATGGAAGGCATTTTAAGTGCCTCAACGGCAAAAACCCTCCACTCGCCCAGTTTCTTCTGGTGTTCTGCAAGGTGCTATATTCGTCCCGTTTTTCTTTTCAATGTATGTCAAACAATCTCCCATTCATCCTGCATCCATTGGCTGTAAATACGCAGATGACGTTGTTTTAGGTTGCAAAGCATCCACTCCTGGAGAGGNNNNGCCTCTAAATGTCAGGATGTTGTGTTTTCCCTCTTGACCGATGTACCATATCCAGCTCTCATTGATAGGTTCCCCACTTTCTTTGCCAATCAACAACCCGTACCGAAATCAACAACAGTAAAATACCTTGGTGTCACCTTATCACACAATTTATCGTGGTCACTGCACGTTCAAAACACATTCTGTAAAGTTAGAAAGTTTTCATATTTCTCATTCCGATTGAGATTACTTTCTGTTCCCCATAAGCTGATTGTTAGGTTTGTGAATGCATGCATGCTACTCCACTGGTTGTATTGCCCCCTGTGATTTTTCCCGGTATGTTGAAGAAAGACTTTTATTTACCGGCGAGATCTCTGAAACACATCCCTAAATGTAGTCGCATTGTCAGGGGTAAACTCGCGGATTCTATCATAGACAGACACCTATAAGCATGCGAAAGTTTTACTTCCAAAATACTCTGACACTCACCGCCCATTACACAACGAATTTTCAAAAGCTATATATGCATCATTCACACGCTCAAGATATAAACTTTTATTTGAACGTACCTCTGCTTATCGTAATTCTGTTTTGCCATATCTAGCAAGCCTACTTATTGACCAGGAGAAAAATTCCACAGAATTGCGCAAATGCTTGCTTTATTGACAAACACAATCTATTGCTTTCAGTTTCATCATGTAATGATTTTGTAAATTTGAATCCATAAATATGGTGTAAATACTGAAAAATCACCCATCCGGGTGCATAAAGCTACTACTGACTTGACTTAATTTCTGCGGGATATATTGCACATCTAATCTGACCCGACTGTTTACCTCTGATAACACATTGCAGCGCTCTTAGTTCATGACCTGGTTCTGACCAACAGAGGGGCAAACAAGCGATGGTAAGCTAATTGATTCTATTGATTAATTCAGTGACTAGTGAGCAAAGCGCGAAGTATGTCAAAAACATCGTGTAAGTGGACTCAATAGAGGTGGTCCTGCGGCACCTGTTTTTTTTTATTGAGCCACGCCAAAGGCAGCTTACTGCTACGTGAGCAACACGTTACCGTCCATTGAGAGCTTTATCGGAAGTTGTTACTGAACGGGAACAGATGTTGATCTGCGTAGACTTGAAGGAGTCGATGGTTGTTATCTGTTCGCTGACATGGCAGAGTTCAGAGACCGCTTGGGCAAGCTTCCGAAGCACTCAATTTTTCATCCTGCGCGTTCAAATCCCCTGCAATCACAACTAGATCGGAACTTCGGATCAAACGATTGAGTTTGGAAAATTTGTTGTAGAAATCATCCTTGATGTATCAGAACTGCATTTGTTCGGTGTACATGATGAAATGATTGACAAGCGCATTTTGGTTTTGCTTGTTTCCGGACACTAATTAACAACCTGGAGTCACATCATACGTAAACCGACGGTTGACGGAGATCCAATCGATACTTGAGGCTTCAGCCCTATTATTGAGTACAACACTAACTCCAAGCTGACCTACTGAAAGGGCTTTATCGTCACCTAATGTACACAAGAGGCGCCTGGGCGAGGAACCCAGCGAACAGAAATAGATCATACTACCAGGATCTTCAATTCTAGTGACCTAAACGCGGTAAATATCAAGTCGCAAACAGTCCGTTATAAGCACGAGCAAGCTCGTTGACCCACCCCCATGTTTTTTCACATTGAAGGCCCCAGATCCAGAGGCTGACGAGGGTTCAAAAACTGCAGTCGATAATAAACTACTTATTGGGCTATTTGACAGGTTTGGTGAGTGAGAAGTGGATCAAGAGAATGTTACCGATTGGAAAGACAGACGAAGAGATGGGACATAGAATTCAGAGAATCAAACGTTAGATGTCTAAGCAATAGTCCACCAAACCCTATCCCCCCATCTAAACGCAGTGGGCAGCGACGTACTGATGACTCTGTGCAAAGACCTATGCAGTATGGAATTCTTTATAGTGCGTACATTTAATGGAGTTCAGTGAATGAGCACTGATTGAGTTCAAACACCAAGCAGTTAACGATAAGAGTTCTCAGCTGAAGCTGTGGGTTTTGACAAGAGCCTAACCGAAAAGTTGGGGATGAGACGAAATGGAGGTCTAATTACATGGATCGATTACTCTTATACCATTNACTGAGATGCTAATTCGAGTGGAATCTACAGTCTGAAGGACCAAAAGGCTGGAATTAGTCTGGCCTTCATCCTCTAACGTTTGATAAAATTTCCCCTATATAACTCGTTGATTTACAGAGGTGCATAATCCATCACACCACATCAAGTTTCAGTATCTTTGTGCTGGAGGTGCGACTTGAACACAGAAAGGCCGGGGGGATGCGAAGTCAACTACTGTCACTTGGGAAGAGACATTATCGATATTGATTAATGTCAGCAAATGAGCAAACGTTTGGGAACAATTGGTTGAAACATGTGCTACGTATGCCGAAAAATAGATTTTCACGGCGCGGGAGGTTTGTCGAGGCATATGTTGGGTGGAAAAGAGCAAAGAGTAGTCAAANTAAAACTTGTTATGAGGGTATGAAAACCCTAACTAGCAAGCTTGCTCACATAGGCCGCGTTAGGCTTCCTGCCACGGCCTGGGCAACCAGACAATTGTTCGGCCAGGAACAAATCGTGGAACTTTCTCTTTTTCATAAAGATTATGGTGCTATGATTTGTTTGACACAGTCTGGATTCAGACGCGTGCAAAATACTATAGGTTACACCTCGAGAACATCGAAACCAGGGATTAGGCTGAGTATCGCAAACAGTGGCGAATGTGCACCTACTCATTATCCTTGCAATGTTAGTCCATGTGGATTCTCCATCTTCTCTTTGACTCTGCTCGCAACATAGCCATCTTTCTTCTACCCTTTCGTCCAAATTGGCAGTCATAAAACAGAAACCAAAACCGGTGCACGAAAGCGCATGTTTATTGATTGCAAAAACCTAACTGAAATGAAAGCGATCATTTAATTCCACTTAAGAAAAAGGATGAGCCTAGCGACAAATGAACAGCACAATTTCTATTTGGCAAACTATCCTGATCTACTCCATAATTTGAGTTTCATTTTCCGGGAAATAAAATAATTCACATTTAATTTTTTTTAATTGACCGAATTGAAAACAACGTTACATATTAGGCAAGGGCAAAAACGAACATGGTGATTTAACATAACTCACAAGTACTCGGCCAAACTTCTCATTAATTTTGTGAACCCAATGAATGAGTGCAAAGCTGAACTCGTTCAAATACACGCACGGTGGCCAGGTGTCCAAGCAAACTGCATGCAGTTGGTTGCTCTCTTTCATGGTAACACAGGCAAGGGACGGAAAATCCTTGGTGGCAAGAGCTGACAGCAGTTCTTTTTCATTTTCTCTACTCGACAGGATTCGACCGTGCCTGAACAGGGAGCTCGTAACCAGCGTACGCTGCATGCCTTGAGTGGATCCGACAAGTTTTGCAGTTGCGTTAGTCTATAGAATGGAGTAGTAGCTAGGAATCTGGTCCGAAAAATGGACCATATGCCAAGATAATGGTACGAAGACATACCACACAAATCAGAACCCTCAGTTCAGGCCAAAAGGATGGTGGGTATAGTTGGTAAGCAACAGATTTGCATGATAGTTTCTCTGAACACTGTTCTGTGGCACTGGTGACCCAATGGACAATTCCACCTTTCATACTGCGACACGAGGATCCGGATCCACGACGGGCAAGTTCGGTGACATCACCATCCAATCTATATAGTTGGGCCAAGCCGAATGCTAGTTGGAATAGTGAAGCTAGTTCCAATTAGAATTTACCAAGCGCTGCCAGACCGGAAGCACTAGAAGCCAATCCAGCGGCTGTGGGAAAGTTGTTGGTAGATTCAATGCATACATAGCGGTAAACCGGATAACGGCCAGTAAGACGAGCACGCAACAGAGCTAGGACGAAAGGACATCGAAATTCCCTTTGGGGACATGGAACCTACCCAAAATGATTACATCCTGCATACGAGGGGGAATTTCTTTCTGTGGACTATTAGATGAGGTTTTAACAAACGTTAGGTAAATTAAAGTCAACGAAGCTCACACGCCATTTAGAGAGAACGAGGATTTAGTGAGATGCGGTCCAATTGTAATTTTAGTGGTTGTTGACAGCTACGTGGTGATGAAAAGCATCAGACAAGTCTTACCTGACTTTGGTCTAACGTCAGACTGATTGAGTTATTAACGGGATAGATATTTAATTCATCTTTCTTACCCCCTGTTAGAATAACAATTCATGGGAATTCTGAAAACTTACAGTATTTCGTCAGTGCAATATTAATTGGTGCACAGACAATCACGGTTTTCGGTATCATACTCGAACTGTAAAAGAGTAAGAAAGCAAGTTTTGAATCAATTAGTTGGAATGATGAACTACTCAAAGATAAACTGAA